TTAGTACATAATAATTACATTCATCTTAGGGAATGAGATATACAGAAATTTCATCTTGTTTTTACTACTTTCTCCTGCACTCTATTTTCTTCTTTCCCTTCACAAAACACCTTCCCATCTCCAGAAAGTCTACCAGTTTTCTACCATCTGTCTTTTACTTCGATCTTTAAAATATTTACATTCTGGGTTTCTTGTTTAAAAGAAATTTTGAAAGCACAATGCCAAATGAGGTACATTTGGTGTTATTAATTTATTGTTAGTGAGTGGGAACTGGCATTATTTCAAAGACAGTGTTTCATTATGAGCTATCTCATATTACAACAGTATCTTCTCTATTTTGCAGAGTATGACCTTCATACACAATTGGTATATTTTTCTTTCTTGGAAAGGTAAATTAGCTTTCCTCACATGTTTTATTTTTATTTCTTTATTTTTTCAATGGAAAGTGTGAACACAGTATCTACCTACCACAAATTATGCAGTCAAGTTTCCCACATTTGGGAAATCACAGGGGTCAGCACATCTGGATCACAATATATAAGCCTGGTCATAGAAAAGCTACCTTCAAGATCATAGTATCTTACCTGGCAGGTAAGTCTCTTCAGAGGTTATTAGCTTGGAAGGTGGATGTGCAAAAACTAAAGGGTGACCTCTTATCCTAGTATTTAAGAGTTCTTAGCCATAAGATAAGATGGATCTAAGACTCAGAATTGTTCAGTAAGTCTTCCTTTCTAGCTGTTTGATTTGTCATGGAACAAAATCATATCAATCTAACCCAGTAGCACTCTGGACAAGTCAAAATATACCTGAGTAGGCTAAGGATCCCTAGATGGCCTCTGGAGATACAGAGATGAATGACATTGTCCTTGGTCTCAAAGGATTCCAGTCAAAAGGAGAAATGTGAAATGCAAAGTTTTGATTGTAACAAATATTAAAATACAGAATAATGGGTAAGGAAAAGGTGATATATACACAAATGAAAATGTTATTCAGCTATAAAAAGAATGGAATTCTGAATTTTCAACAACATAAGTAGAACTAGGGAGAATTATATTAAATGAAATCAGCAAGACAAAGCAAGCCATTCATCACATGTTCCCACTCATTTGTAGAAACAGAAGAGTTGTTATCACAGAAAACTGAGACTTAATAGTCGTAACTAGAGATTGTGAAAGACTAATGAGAGGAAGGACAAAAAGACTTTGATACAAAATATAAAAATGCAGTTAAATGTGAAAAAGTGATTTCCTTTCTATGGCACTGTACAATAATGATTGATTATAGTCATCTATGAAATGTTTCAAAATAACTACAATATTACAAAAGTTATATCACATAGTAATGATTAATGTTTGAGGAGATATAAGTACTTGAGACCATTAATCACATTATGTAATCAAGTTGAATGGATGAAGAAATACTTACCAAATTATTAAAGCACAGTTGTGTATGCATCTGTGGTGATTGAAATGAAGACCAAAAAAAAAAAAAAAAAAAAAAAAAAAACTGGTACAAATACATCATTCACAGGGCTGGCCAGATAGCTGAGTGGAATAAGTGCTTGCCTGGTGAGCTCGAGGTCCTGAGTTCGATCCCTGGTATCACCAGAAGACCAAAAAAAAAAAAAAAAGAGAAGAGAGTCAATATTAATAAGGGTATTACCAATCATTAAACTTATAACTTAGAATAAAAGTAGAAAGAAGAAAGTCATGTCCCCATTTTAGAAAGCTCTAGTATTCTCCATTACTCTTGGACATTAAGGTCCAGTTTTTTCATTCCTCCAAAGCACACTTGTGCCAGTAACTCTACAGTGAGCTTAATGACTTCATACATCGGAGTGGTGCTGCATTCTTGATCTCTCTTTTTATGTGGCTTCCATTTTCTTGAACCAAGCAGCTACTGAGTAATTGACTGTCCCACCTCTGGTCCCACAGACTGATATTGCAGAGTCTCCCAACTCTTATCCTGTAAGTCTCACTAATAAACTTCGTTGGATAAATATAAATATAAATATAAATATATCTGTATCAATTCTGCTTCTTTGGAGAACCCTAACTACACAATACTTATTACCCTGACTTTGTCATTATACTTTGTATACCTGAATCAAATTATAATACTGTATCTCACAAAGTTATAAAAATCCTTTGTCTCCATCATACTTTCTTTTTTAAAATCTTGGCTTAAGGCAATGAATCAACTGAAAAAATGCCAAAGAGGAATAGCCAAACATAAGAATCTACAGATAGAATAAAAATGGACTTCAACACAGACTAGATATAAATAAAGAAGAAAAGGAATTCTCCCAAAAATATTTCAAAATGCCTACCTTAAATGGTGGAGTGGTTGGTGCTGTTACTTAAAAAAATAAAGATGAGAGGGAAAGTAGAGTCCATGTAAATATGATTAATATATGTTTGGGAACATGATGCATTAGAAGTAAATATCTTATTTATAATAACTACAATTAATTGAATATATACCATGCTCAAAGCAATCCAAAAATTTTGAGAGCCCCATTCTCACTTTTAGCTGTGCATCTCCCACACTGTAGAGTCTACAAAGTCAAGGTGTATGTTCACCAACCGTCTACACATCTCTTTTAGGCTACTTTCCATGGATCCATATATGTGCATAGAAGATTCCTCTCCATGGACTAAAAGGGATGTGTAGACAGTTGGTGAACATAAAGAAACTATGGAAATTGTATATTATCTTCTTCAATAATCAACACATTGCAGATGAAATTAAAGAAGAAATTAGTCTGTACAATTCATGATAATGCCAATTTGACATAGTGGGACCTATGAGATGCAATGAAATAAGGCCTATGAGAAAAGCTGAGAGCAGTGAATCAGCCATCAGAAAAATAGAGTGAAATCAAATAAATAATCCAACGATAAAACTCCACGTTGTTAGAAAATAAAGAACTATTCAAACCCAAAGGTAAACAAGGAAGGTAACTATAAAGATTACAGCAGAAAGTAATGTAATTGAGAAAAAATGCAAAATTTAGATGAATTGAAATGCTTGTTCTATGAACAATTAAATAAAATAGACAAACAGCCATGTTTATCAAAACAAGGATAAAAAAGACTGACTTCCACATAATTTGAAAAGAAATGGGTAAAATGACAACAGATTCAGATAAAATCTAGGAGATCCTAAGTAACTGCTTTGAGAAACTGGTACTATGATGAAATGAAATTTCAGAAGAAATGGATATGTTCATATAAACATATGAATTACCAAAGTTTAATCAAGAACATGTAAAAATTCTAAATATTCTAATATGTCAGTGAAGCTGAAGAAGAAATTCCTATTTTTAATAATATTATTGAGAAAAATAGCAATAACACTGTGAAAAACTGACTAATAGGACAGTTTCTATAATTAACACATTGCATATTGTTGATTACATAGCAGTTACTCATAGTACCTGATGCAGACATGATACCCCGTCCAAATACTATTAGGACAAAAATTTTTCTCATTGAATTAAGCGAAAGTAGGTGTATAACTATCCTCAGTATTTTGTATATAGAGATACAAATAGTCCTTCATTGTAGTGCCTTTTTTGTTTAGTGTGGTCAGAGATGGGTATTCAATTGTCATTTAAATAGTGTAGGTGAGTGAATTTAGCAAAATAATCCAATATAGTCCAGTGGTCCATAATAGTAATGGGTTAGCCGTTGAACTGTATATGTCAGAAGTTGTTGACATGAGCCTTTTACAGATCAGTATATTTATATGGCTTTACATTTTATGCCTCATTTTTATACTTTTTTGCTGGATGGATAAAACCAAGATAAAGAAAGATCTATGTAACAAGAAATGTAACTTTTGTATTTGGCAAGGTCGGTCAAATGCCCTAAGGAACTACCCTGAAACACTGTACCACACTTTGTAGAACCTTTGTCAGTGTATTACATTTATAGATTTGGCTATGTTGATATAGGGCAGCACATTTATAGATTTGGGCATTTTGAACCATGCTTGCATCCCTGCGATGAATCCTATCTGGTCATGGTGCATAATCTTGATGATTTGCCATACAGATGAGTCACATCAATTGCTTGATCAATCTGATCTCTGTGAAAGCCTGAGAGAATGTTTTCTCTCCATGTGACTCTCCTTAGGCACACTCTACATCATGAATTGCTTTCCTCTATGGTCCCATAATCTCCTTGATGAGTAAATTTTGGACACAACTGACATACATGTTGTTACACTATGGATTCCCTTATGTCCCGAGTCCTCACTTAACTTTAAAGGTGAGGGCCAAATTTTGGCTGTCCTTGCAGCCCTTCTTTTTCTCTAATTTTTGGTCTGCAAACTTAAGTTGCTAACCCTCCAGAAGAGAATCTTAATGACATTGTTATCCTATAACATAGGCAATTGAGCTTAACCTCACAGTCTGAATATCAAACATCAAGACATAACATGGAACAGGTATTTTTCCATCAAGCATTGACATTTTAAACTTTAAATCCTTACAGATTATACAGAACAAAAGGAAAAAAGTAAAAAATATTTCAAAAATAAAAATAAACAATTGCATATTTTTACATAAAAATTTAAAATCTAACCATGTACAGTATTGTAGAAGGACAGTTCTACGACTTTTTTTCTTGCCTCTCATTTTCATTTATAATGCTTTATTTAAAAAATGAACATTTACTCGGGAGACAGTATGGCAGTAATTGGTAGGACATGACAAGCAGTACATATTTAGAAGACCAGAATGACAAGCATTCCAAGCATGAACCCAGTATTATACATTGTTATGTGCAGTGTAGTTATTTAGTTGACAGGTATCAGCATATATCGTTAGTCAGGGTGAGAATCCTACCAATAAATTGCTAGTCTCAAAAACCTGCTGAATAGTCTCAGGATCATTGCCTTATCCATCTTGTGCATATAAATGTATCGCTTTGCCCCTGTCATGCTTCCTAGCTTTTCCCCTTGCCTTCTCCTCTTTGTGTAATCCTTAAATTCTCACTTTCTTCTTAATTGTATTATACCTTTCTATTTTAATTACTCCTTGTGAGATTTTCACTAGGGACACTGTAAAGCATTTACACATGTGGATCTGGTTTATTGTACTTATCTGTATATTTTCAAGTGGCATCCACTCAAATATAAAGGCTTCAAGATTATCATTCTTTATAGTTGAGTAATACTTCATTGTATAAAAATGCCTCATCTTTTATATCCATTCCTTGAGTGACAGGCATCTTGGTTGTTTCCAATATTTGGCTATCACAAATTGAGCTACTATAAACATAGGTGTACATATATAACTATGATACGACATTTTCAGTAACACGAGGAAAATTCTTAGTAGGAGGATAGCTGGTTTGAATGGGATTTCCAGTTCCAGTTTTTTGTTATGTATTGTTTTGTTTTTAAATAATTTTATTGAGAAACAAATTGCAATGAGACAGTTTAAAAAACCAATTATTAGCACAGTTTCAATAATTAATACGTTATATATGGCTGTCGTAGTGGTTATTCATTGTACAAGATGCAGACATGTTATCCTGTCCAGAAACACTTTTAGAACAAATCTCTCTATTCATTGAAGTAAGAGAATGCA